AACTGATAGTAAAATAGTGAATGAATTGAGTAAAAATGGAAAAATGATGATACATAAAGGGCAGGTAAAAGTTAGATAATCTGTAGTGCTTGATTCTTTCATTGCCTGATTGATATCTGGCTCTATAGCATATAGTCATTCATTGTGATTGTATAGTGACAGACTCAAATATATCCAAAAAATGATTTGTCAGATATATGTCATAGTTTGGGCTTATCAACTGAGAAAAACAAAGTGGACCTCGTGCAGAAGTTAAAGGATTACCAAGTAAAAGGTTCCCGTAAAAGAAATGTAGAAAAAGAAAAATTCTCAAATGATGGTTTACAAATAAGTATTGATAATGAGTCAGTAGTATCTGACAATTATACAGAAATGATGGTAAGTTCAACTCAAAAGTGTCTGGCCACCAAACTTTTGGAAAATTATCCCGAGAAACAAGTCACTCGCCAAGAGCTATGCCACAATCACTTATACAATAAAGCTGATATTAAGGAAGCCTGGCCAAAACATAAGTTCAAAAAGTTCCAGAACTAACATGAGTATGATACTCTATGCCAAATTGGGAGAGAACTGGACTTGGCTACAGAATCCAGAAATTTGGATGATGCAGCAAGCTATATTGAAGCTATACAGGAGTTAGTAAAGAATAGAATATTCACCTTGAGGGTGGCTGAAAGTTTTGGTTGGGATATTACTGCAGCTTTACCTGAAACTCAGGATGATTGGTTGAAAGAGAAGAATAGTTTAATTAAAAAAGCTAAGACTTTGGCAAACACAAAAAGGAGTAAGAAACAAAAATCATATGGTGTATTTAAGTCATCAAGCTATCAGTATAGCTATCTAGACAAAAATCAGAGTAGTTATCTTGTTAATTATAAGAGTAATTTTCAGGTAGCTATTAGGGTACGAACAGGTTTTTTCAAAACAACCAACAGTTCTACAATCAGATGTTATAATCTCGAAGAAGTGCTACATTTGTAGTGGCTACAGCTATTTCACAAAAATCTGCTTTTCAGACCCAAACAAAAATACAAACCAAAACTATGAAACTGGATATAAATCAAGAGGCTAACAGCCTATAAGAACCAATTCAATAAACCTCAGGATATCACAAA